TCCCAGGGCAACTCTCACATAAAATCTTCCCAGAGAACTTGGCTCAACCTGTATCTGCTAACTATTTCCCTAAGAACGTTCGAAAACAACAGATAAAAACCTTGTATTGACCTTATATATATATATACGATATTTGGTGGATTCTGAAGCAAATAGTAGGTATGTCCATCTTCTTCCGGCAAGCATGGTGAAGGGCTTTCCACGGACTACGAACTGCATTGTTGATTGGCCCACAAAGGAAGCACGCTCGAAAGTGGCAAAATTCACATTGCGCGGCTTGGTGCCGCTGTCCTCGTAGGTGTCGTCGTTTTTTGACCCCCACATGTTTGTCCCGTGTCGCAGTCATGGGCAGGCACCGTGTTCGATCTTTCACGGACCCGCATCAGAACGACTGAAGTACGTGGTGTCTTGCGGCATTTCCCATAGTGACCGCACCATTGTCAATGCTTCGGTAGACAAGAAGGCGAGTTTCAGCTTCTCGAAGTTTTCGGCCCGGATCGTGCAGGGAGTTCCTTCGTCGGCTCACATGGTTGCTTCAGTTTAAACACACACATATATATTTATATATATCCGTGAATATCTCATGGCCTGCTCAGGTGATGGTGATGACTGACGACGAAGGTGGTGATGATGATGCTGATGATGAGAAGATTGAGGACGACGACGAAGACGAGGCCAGGAGGACGATGATGAAGTCGCCGACGACAACGATGATGATACTGCGCATGATTCACTGTCTCTGTTTCATGCCTTTGCAAAGGCCGAGCAAGGCTGCTGTCGGTCGGCCCCCCTAACCCCGAAACCCCTGCACAATCCCTGAACCCTGACCCCTAAACTAATCCCTAACCCCTATACACCCCAAAACCCGAAGCCCGAAAAAAACAACCCAAAGCCATCAATCCCTAGACCCCCAACCACGCACCGCTAAGCCCGTAAACCGCCTAAGACCTCAAAACCTCAGCCCCCAAACCCTAAAACCCTAAACCCTAAAACCCTAAACCCTAAACCCTCTGACTGCAGGAGCATGTGAATGTCTTGGCTTCCCATGGGCTCCACTGGGCGGTTCCCCCGTGCTGGCGATTCGGGGACAGGGCCTGCCACCTCGTTAGGGTTTAGGGTTCAGGGATGGCCCTGAAGACTCTCTGAAACATATTCCTAAACTTGATCGTCTTAAACCCAACGAGGTAAAAGTACAAATAGCCCCAGGGCCTACCTAGTGATTAAGGGTTAACCCGAACCCTAGACCCTAAACCCCTAAACCCTAAACCGTGGTTGCAGGCTTTGCCTTGCAGCCCTCAATTTGCTAGGGGTTTTAGGAGTCTGTGTCGGCATCCTGAAATCTTGGCCAGGCATGCGCCGACAAGCATCAAGAATGAACCCTAAACACTGAAACCAGGTTCAGGGTTCCGGGTTCGGGGTTCAGGGTTCAGGGTTTAGGATTGAGGGTGAAGCCTATCACCTGAACTCTAAACCCAAAGTCCATCTTGGTGGACAGCTGCCCTATACAAGTTGGTCTGCTGGGGTCTTACATGGTTTCGTATCCACAGAGCCCACTACCCCATTGGTTTGTTAGGCCTAATCCGTCAACCCTAAACCCAAGCGCAGCCGGCAGTACAACCTCTATAATCCAGGTGCGAATCACTCTAAACCCTCAACCCCAAACCCTAAACCTTAAGCCCTAAACCCCATTCGTAGGACTCCGTGGGGCATCCTCGTGCGCTGCTCGGGCTGGCAGAAGAGATGGGCCAGGCCATGGTGCAGACAAAGGGTTACTTGCAGCATCATGGGTAGTCATCCCTGGAGTTATAATCATGAGCTCCACTAGTACTCCCCCTCTATACTACCCCCCCAGGTTCCCCCCTCAGATAACCTGAATGAAGCGGGACATTTCCCTACAGAGCCTTAACTACGGGGGCAACCTAGGGGGGTAGTAAACCTTATTTCTGGTACTTCTGACCCTACTTCTGCTTATCCATGAACCTTCAAGTAGAGGGCTTTGGTGAATGCGTATCGTGCTCCTTACAAACATTGGCGAGTGAGTGTGTGTGTGTGTGTCCATGTATTTATGTAGGTATGCAAATAAATAGATATATGCATATATACATATATATATATATACATAGATAGATATACACATGCATATGTATGCAGATATACATATATATGTATATATATATATATGTGTGTGTGTACATATATATATATATTGGATATATATATATATATATATATTGGGTGTCCTGAAAGTTTGCAGCAAGAGGGGCCCTACTTCCCATCATGTGGTAGATGATGCCAGGCTCAGCGATATCGAAAACGTATGACATTTGTGGCTGCGCGTTTCGTGGGCGAGCTGTTGAACCCTAAGCCCTGAGCCCTAAGCCCTAAACCCTAACCCTAAACCCTAAACCCCCAGGTACCTTTAAGGGGGAGTACGTTGAATTCAGAGATAGTCCCATCTTAGATCATTCTGCATGCCCTTTGGCTACGTTGACCCTGTGTGTTTAGGTTTTTAGGGTTTGTATTGGTGTAGGGTTTAGGGTTTAATTAGGGTTTAGGGTTTGTACTGGTTTTGCAACCCTAAACCTAAACCCTAAGCCCTAAACCCTAAACCCTAAACCCTCAACCGGCGTGTGGACTTCGCAGCATGGCGCAGGTCTCTCGCTGGGTTGTGCGCGCAGCTGCGGCCCATGCTCCGAAGGGTGAGGCCGGAGTGGGATCGCATGAGGGTTTAGGGTTTAGGGTTTAGGGTTTAGGGTGTAGGGTGTATGGTGTAGGGTGTAGGGTGTAGGGTGTAGGGTGTAGGGTTGAGGGTTTGTGTTTGAGGGTTTAGGGTTTAGGGTGTAGTTTCGGGTTTGGGGTTTTGGGTCTGCGGTTTAGGTGCCCAAAAGGTGGCTAATCAGGAGCTACTTTGGGGCCTCGGTATTCGACAGGTACCGGGACCGTCGGGTACTCAGGGTATTTGTTCGAATGGAACGAAATGCCCAGATACTAACTTCAAAGCAGTACCAAAGGGCATGGTTTGTGATTTAGGGTTTAGGGTTTAGGGTTTAGGGTTGGGTTTAAATAGTACTGCAAGTCGAGGCTCCGGACACACTCGCACACGCCGAAGCTTTTCTTTTGGGACCACATGAGCCCCCACAATTGGAACCCTGCTAGGGTTCATGCAGTGCCAAAGCTCTGGGCATCATGCAAGACTTGGTTATTTCCCGAAACAGGGGTACCCCTTTATACCCCAAAATAGAATAGAATCCCCTTAAAGGGACCCTGAAAAAGGGTACCCCTAAACCCTATTTTCGGAAATCCCCCTCCCCCTCCATTGAAAAAAAGAAGCTGTCCAAGAAGCTTGGGGCTTGGAGGGCTTTGTCAGTGGCATCGGTGCCAGAAGCTCCACCGGGTGCCCCAAGATAAGGATGGGCCATTAAGCCCAACACGGCGGGTTTAGGGCTTTGGGTTCAGGGTTTAGGGTTTAGGGTTTAGGGTTATATTGGGCCGTTTGTATACAAGGGAGGTTCTGAGTAAACCCTTCTGAATTATTGGCCCCCCTTTGGGTGCCTTGAATACTAGGACCCATACTCTTTGGATCCTTGACAGGGATCATAATGAAGAGAGCCTCCCAAAAAGGGTGCCATGCCTTCCTTGCTTTTAGGGTAATTAGGGCTTAGCTTTTGCAGGCATCAAGGCCCTGTTCCTTGAGATAGGGGGTTTAGGGTTTAGGGTTTAGGGTTTTGGGCTTATGGCTGAGGGTTTCTTCGGGATTTCGTGAACGAGCTTCCCGAGGGCCCCACAGATCCCGATGGTGAAGAAGCTTCCCATGCTCGGGAAACGATGGTCTCCTCATGGGGGTCGATTTTTCGTTGTTTGTTCACTGTAACACCCGAGGGAATCTTGAAGACATTGAGAATTCTAGGGAGGAGTATAGTTGAGAGCAAGCGTGTCATGCAAATTCTGGGTTCGGTGTAACATGGTAGCTCTCTACAAAAAATGTTGAAGTTTCATGGTAGCCGTAAGTTATAAGTAGGGTTATAAGTACCCCAAAACATGCGACCCGACCATGAACCTCCGAGTTTTCTGGGTTTAGGGTTTATAGGGGTTTGTATTTTAGGCTAGGGTTTAGGGTTTAGGGTTTAGGGTTTAGGGTTTAGGGTTTAGGGTTTAGGGTTTAGGGTTTAGGGTTTAGGGTTTAGGGTTTAGGGTTTAGGGTTTAGGGTTTAGGGTTTAGGGTTTAGGGTTTAGTGGTTGACAGGACTGGCTGGCCCGTGCGATGAAGGAAATGGACGGTGTCTGGACTAATGGAGCACAGGGTTTGTACTGCTGTTCTTGGTGAGTGAGTCCCTATCAAATATGGGCGAGCCCCAAGAAATCAGCGTAGACCATGCGCCAACACCCCTAGCGCCCAAACCATAACAACCTACGCCTCAACCTTCAACCCACCCCAAGACCCTAACGATGAAAACCATACTATGTAACCACGCATAGAAAAATAGCATACTTAAGTGTTTGAACATATTGTCAGAGTGGAGGAAGCAAAAAACACGAAACATTTAGATGAAACACCAAGGAATGGTGTCAAGCGGATTATGAAGAGTATTAAGGATATTGAGAAACAATATGGCGACCCAATCAATCCTAAATACTAAAGCAGTATTCGTATTTTCAACAAAATGGCATTATTCTTCCTCCTAGTTTTACTACCTTATTATCCCAAAACCTTATTCCTATTATAGATATTTTATTGGAGAAGACCATTTCCTTTTCTACGGTCAGGATGTTGTGGGTTTTCTATCGAGTGGGGCGTGGTATGGGGTTGAGTATGCTATTTCTATGGGAGTATGTGTGGTTCCACAGTATCTTTTGGGCCTTAATTGCCATAGGTTGTTATGTTTCTTGGGTGCCAGGGGGTGGTGCCTGGTTAGAAAATGGAAATGCCCTCCACTAACTCACTTTGGGTTTCCTGTGGGGACACCAGCAGTGTAAACCCTGGCTTCATCGCCTGAGTCATTATGGGTGAGAAGGTGCCGCAAGGTCACCAGGGCTTGGTTTTATGTGTTTTGCCCCAAATCTGCCCAGGGTTCAGGGTTTGGAGAACCCCCCCCCTGCCCCCGACCCACCCGAACTGACGCACGTGTCCGCAACGCTAGACCCTAACACCTAAAGCCCAGAGCCTAAAACCTATAAAGCCCGAAGCTCCGCCTAAACCGTGTAAAGCCTGAGGTAGACCTGAGCTTCTCCGTGCCTTCGCATATCGGTCAAAGGTGGAGGAGGTGGCAAGCTTAGTGTTACCTAAAGTCTCCTATGTAGTTCATTGGGGTAGTATACTAGAATCCCCTATAACTAACCCGAAAAGGAACTACATTAGAGCCTTCAGGTACTGCTTGGAGGCTGTACGGTTTCGGCTTTTGGGAGAACTTACCAGTAAGCTAGGGTCTAAGGGGTTTTGGTGAGCTATAGGTGGACGTTGTGACATCTTTAAATCCCTGTTACGGAGATATTGATGCATGAGGTCGTGTGGCATTGTGGCCTTGGCCGGAAAGGAGCTACTTTAAGGAAGCGCCGGAATAGAAAGGGAAAGGCTTAGGGTTTAATTAGGGTTCAGGGCTTAGGGTTTTGGGTTGCGGGTTTGGGGTTCTAGGCTTTAGCGTTTTAGGGTTTAGGGGCTGAGGCTAGGGTTAGAGATTGCAGGCAGGCGAGGGTTTTCTCGGCACATACGCATCTGTCTGCCGCGCGACTTTGTGCCCAGGAGCCCGTGTAGCCCTAAAGCCTAAACCCTAAACCCCTAACCCCCAAACCCTAAACCCCAAACCCTAAACCCTAAACCCTAAGCCCTACCAGGGTGTATAGCTTCAGTCATCACGGAACTAGGGACCCCAACCCGAACCGGATGCTAAACTTGATGGGAATGGGACCTCCCCTAAACCCTAAACCCTAAACCCTAAACCCTAAACCCTAAACCCTAAACCCTAAACCCTAAACCCTAAACCCTAAACCCTAAACCCTAAACCTAAACCCTAGACCCTAGACCCTAAACCCTAAACCCTAAACCCTAAACCCTAAACCCTAAACCCTAAACCCTAAACCCTAACACTAAAACCCTAAACCCTAAGCCCTTGACCCTGAGGTGGACCCGCAGAAGCTCCTGCCAACCGTGCCATCCAAGGACAGCATGGCTGTCCTTGGGTGTTTAGGCCTAAGCCCTAAACCCCAAACCGTAAGCCCTACTAACTACTGACTCTAAACCTAAACCCTAAACCTTACCAGGGCGTCTAGTTTGGATGTTTGAGGATATTTTGGCACATGGTCAGACCCAAACTCGCCCGCCCGGCCTTTGGATGCTTTTTGGGGCAACCTACGCTAACCTATAAACCCTGCACCCTAAATCCTGAAACCTAGAGCCTAAACCCTAAACCTAACTCCTGCCCACGATAACCCTTAAACCCTAAGCCGCACCTGAGCCCTATAAGCTCTCCGCGGTGGAGGGCCTTGAGTCCAGGAACTGGCGTGCCTCCTCTGTCCCAACAAAGCCTCTTACCCTAAACCCTAAACCCTGAACCCTAAACCCTACACTGCGTCTCGGGTGGGTACTCGCTTCCCCTTAGCCCATGACAACAAAGCGGGTTCAGGGTTGTGCAGGTTGCAGGTTGTGCAGGTTGAGTTTTTACCACCCTAAGCCCTAAACCCTACACGCTGCAAACCCTTTGTTCAGGGGTCTGAATTTGTTAAGGCTCCTTGAGTGATTATCGTTCTGGTCTGTCTCCGGAGCATGGCTAAGCCGTCGAAGCCTCGCTTTGGGCGAATCAGGGATCAGGGTTTGGTGTTTAGGGTTTAGGGTTTAGGGTTTGGTGTTTAGGGTTTAGGGTTTGGTGTTTAGGGTTTAGGGTTTAGGGTTTGGTGTTTCGGGCTCAGGGTCTCAAGGATGTATCGAGTCTTAGGTAGGGCGTTGGGGTGGCGCCTGCGATCTGGCCAGTTGCTATAAGCCCTAAAGCCTAAAAACTCTTAACCGGAAGTGGCTGCAAGAACAGGGTTTAGGGTTTAGGGTTTGCGCCAGTTCTTTTTTCTCGCCTGTCAGTGTCACACAGCTGCTCGAGTCTTGTTGTAAATGACATGGGAGGCTGGATAGAGCGCCTGCAAGTGCCCCCAGGGCCAGGCACATTATATTATATTTTATATGTAATACACATATTTCATATAGATATGCGTGTGTATATGTGTATACAGACATAGACAGTATAAATAAATATAAATATATATATACATATATGTTTATGTTTTTTATATTTATACATACATAGAGTCTGTTTCACCTTCCGCGAAGAAGTCTCACGCTTCCGATGCAGCGAGCTGGAGGTTGAGTCCGGCAGACTTGGCGGGCATCCGCCATGACTGTCAGCCCGATGACGCCCAAGTCGAGGCGGGGGTTTTACAACATAGGGGTTTAGGGTTTAGGGTTCGGATCCCCAAATAGTAGGATTCCCTTATACTAAGGGACCCCAGTAAGGTACCCCCAATCTGGAACACCCCCAGGCGCAGCCATTTTGGCAGAAGCATTGCCCAGAACTGTTCTGACAACCTGGACTTGATCGACCAGGAGAGGGCGGCTGGGGAAACCCCGAATTAAGCCCTAGAAGCCTTCCATGAGCCATCGGTGGCGCGTGAGTGCTGGTGCACGTGTAGAGGGTTTAGGGTTTAGGGTTTACAGTAAACTCCACAAATTTGGAACATCCTTATCCCCGTACCCCCCAAAAGGTATACTAAAGGGAATCCCAGCACGACTCGTCCTATAGCCCATGTTCTAACTTTCTGGAGTTTCCGTATCCGACTGAGTTCTTGCAACATGGTCCAGAACGTTCCAGGATTCCGGAACCTTATGCCCTAAACCCTCAACCCTCAACCCTCAACCCTCAACCCTAAACCCTAAACCCTAAACCCTAAACCCTAAACCCTAAACCCCAGGACCAGTCGGGAGATTTGGACTCTGCGGAGGTGGAGACACTGCTGGCTGCCATGGGGCTGCAAGGCACCGGGCACAGGTGTGGGGTTTAGGGTTTAGGGTTTAGGGTTTAGGGTTTAGGGTTTAGGGTTTAGGGTTTAGGGCCTAGGGTTTAGGGTGTCGGGTTTAGGATTTCGGGTTTGGGGGGGGGGGGGGGGGGTACACCGAAAGGGTTCAGGGGGTGTAACAACAGGTATGGAGGGTTTTCTAGCGAGGTCCCCATTCAAGGGCCCCATCTGAAGGGACCATGGAACTACTAAGCCCTAAACCCTAAACCCTAAACCCTAAACCCTAAACCCTAAGTTGTTGATTTTGACCTTCTTGAAGCTGACAAACGAGACATGGGAAGATAAGCAGCTGAAAAGCCCCCTTCGTTGCCGAATACACACATGTCCGTGGACTTGGTTCTGACTAATGAATTGCCCCTAAACCCTAAACCCTAAACCCTAAACCCTAAACCCTAAACCCTAAACCCTAAACCCTACATCTCCTGGCTCAGGCCCGTATATCTGTAGAGGAATATGCCAATCACTGTGAACTCTTCCAAACCCCTCTAAGCCCCCATGACGCCGAATCCCACCCAACCTAATCAATCCTCATCAGCCCGTAAAATAGCCTCCCTACAAGCCCTAAAACCTTACACCCCCAAACCCCAATCCCCAAACCCCCAAACCCACCCAAAAATATCTAACCCTAAACCTCAAACCTTCGTCTGATTCATAGGTGAGGATGCCAAGAAAGTGATGCTCGCTGTGCTCGGGGAAGGAAACCGAAAGACGAACCACCTGGAGCTAACCGAGGCGCCTTCGATAGGACTCCGCGGGGCTTAAGATCGTTTAGGGTTTAGGGTTTACAGTTTGGGGTTTGGGGTTTGGGGTTTCGAACTTATAGGGCTTAAGATCTTTAAGGTTTTTTTGGTGCAGGGCTTGTGGTTCAAGTTTAGGGCTCTACGATACCCCTCCCCCAAAGCGGTGAGCTGCCTCTGCCCTTCTGAGGCAATTCTGGACAATTCTGACCTGGACCAGGAGAGTCTGGAAGTGATGCTGGGGCGCGTCGCCCTCTTTGGAAAGGTTTTCCGTCGCCTCGACGTCAACGGAGACGGATCGCTGTCTCTTGCGGAGATCATTAAGATGATGGAGATGCTGAACATGGATACGAAGTTTGCAGCAGACCTGATGGCTTTTCTTGACGCGGACGACTCGGGCGAAGTGACCTGGCAGGAGTTCGTGCGCGGCGTTTCCAGCAGCCAGTTCACGGTCCCCTAGTAGCTGAGTGAGCACACTTTACACACTTTTTGGGATACCATACCCCCCTATAGAAACTGAAAGTGGGCCCTAAACCCTAAACCCTAAACCCTAAACCCTAGACCCTAAACCCTAAACCCTACAGAACTGAAAGTGTACACTTTTTGGGGGGGCTTATGAACTCAGCAGCTCTAAGCCTATAAGGTCCTGTTCCCAGAGATCACCTTAGAGGCGCTGGTCGATCTGCCATCGAGCCTCTTGGTAGTGCAGTGGTGCCCTTGACCCTTTTTTTGGGTTCAAGGTTCCCTTGTAGATAACCAACCCCAAAAAAAGATTTAGGGTTTAGGGTTTAGGGTTTAGGGTTTAGGGTTTAGGGTTTAGGGTTTAGGGTTTACTTGCTAGAACTTTTTTTTTTTGGGCTACCAAGGCCTGCAGTGGGACAAGTTTGTGAGTGAGGATGAGCAAACCCAGGCAATACAGCAACTGCCTGCCGTCGAGAAGACGCTCTACTGGGTACCTTGGGAACGAGATGAAGGCCCCCCCAAAAGGGTTTAGGGTTTAGGGTTTAGGGTTTAGGGTATGGTTCATATACTTTGACAGGGAGTCTAGTAGTCTACGGCATCTGACCCCCTAATTTTAGCGTTCATGCCGTGCCACAAAGGTACTCTCCCTGATGTACGGCAGCTCCTCCCGTCGACGCGTTGCGCCCGAGGATGACGAAGATTTGCACAGCCTCCTCCGTAGCACGGATCGCGTGGTCAAGCGGCTGAGTCAGAACCTTGGGGGCCTCAAAGGGTTTAAGTGGGCATATGGTTCATATAGAGCCTTAACAAAGATTATCGTAGTGCAGGAATTGTATACGATTCCTCATTTTTTTAGAGTTCGCTTGCTCCGCAAGGAAGGGGAACTCCCAAAGTGAGCCAAAGCCGGACCCTGCTTGCCTCGCGCGCGCGGACACCGTATCCAAGACGGTGTCCCCGGTGACCCATCCCTTTGCCGTACCTGAAGGCTCTAATTCAGTTCCTTTTTGGGTTAGTTGTAGGGGATTCTAGTAGACCACCCCAAAAAAGGACTACATAGGAGCCATTAGGCCCGAAGCCCGAAACCCCAAACCCGAAACCCCAAACCCTAAACCCTAAACCCTACACCCCAAACCCTAAATCCTAAACCCTAAACCTACAAAAGAGCCATTAGGTATCTGACATCCCGGCACTGGTCAAGACCATGAAGCAGCAGACGGCAGTGGTGGTCACGCGCAAGCAGCCCAAGGACCCTTCCAAAGTCCAGGTCGGAGGGGTGGGGAGGTGGTATTCTCTAAATTAGGGTTTAGGGTTTAGGGTGTAGGGCTGCGCCCATTTTACAAAGGCTCCACATCAGAATTAGGATTCCCCCCCCCCCCCCCCCCCCCCCTGCAAAAAAAGGGGACCCTCACCCAAAGGGTCCATGTACCAACGTAGTCCATGTATGGGTTAGTTAAGGGGATTCTTGTATACTACCCCAAAACGGTACTACATAGGAGCCTCTAGGTAATAAGGTACATGGGGACCCTAAACCCTAAACCTTAAACCCTGAACCCTGAACCCTGAACCCTGAACCCTGAACCCTAAACCCTAAACCCTAAACCCTTCAAACCCTAAACCCTAAACCCTGAACCCTACAAACCCTAAACCCTAGACCCTAAACCCTAAACCCTAAACCCTAGACCCTAGACCCTAGACCCTAAACCCTAAACCCTAAACCCTAAACCCTAAACCCTAAACCCTATAAACCCTAAACCCTAAACCCTGATTCGAGTTTAGAGAGAGAACCAGGTGGCGACCGTGCGGCCGAGCTCCGTCGGCTCCGTCGGCTTCTCCGGTACCTTGGGGGAAGGGTTCAGGGTTTAGGGTTTAGGGTTCAGGGTTTAGGGTTTAGGGTTTAGGGTTT